GTCGGAAGAATTCTTCTAGTTCTCCACATTGAAGTATTTTATTAGGGTATTTTTCTGGACAGAAATTTAGGCCCTTAGAAAGGACAGATTTTTCAGTTTTGGTAAGCGTGTGTGTGGAGAGATTGATAATATTTGTGGGTTGGTTGCTGCTTTCAGTTTTATCAAGTCTGAGGTTGGAAGGTTGGAAGGTGTTGGTGTTGTTCCTCTGATGGTTGTTTTGTGGCTGGGGAGCTTGTTCTTGGAATAATTTGTTCCATTTTTTCTTTTTATGTAGGACGAATGCTGTAGAAAGTTTTTCGTAGTCTCTTTGTATCCACTGTATATTAACATGCATGGATTTCTATCTTTTAAGTTGTTGTAGTATATGGTGATTTCCTTCCTGAGTTGGTCTCTTTTGGAGTAGAGTAGGTGAAGTAGATGATTTCTAATTTTCTCTGAAGTTCTTCTGCATAACTGTGCAGCATATTTGGAGTTGTGTGTACTAGTCAGGGGATTGTAGATGTTTAGTCCTCGGGGAATTAAGTTGTGTTTCTTGCAAAGGCTTAGAAAATATATGTCACTGTTTAGTTTGGCTTCTTTCTTTTTCATGTTGTACAGTTTCCATTTCAGACGGCTGAATTCAATATCTTCCATGTTGCAGGGGTGTAGGTTGTAGCCGTGTTGGTCTAAGGACATAGGCAGACAAGGTTCCTTGGGTGAATTTGATATCTTTTATTAGACCAACCTAAATAGTTGGAGAATAGTTGTATTTCTAACAGAGTTAACGTAAGGCCTCAACTATGCAGGCACTTATGCAACTAGTTGATTTGAGATGGGTAACTCCTGCAAAGAAAGTTAGCTCTGTAGATTGGGGCCCATGTCAAGAGACTGTTAAAGGTTCATAGACATTAAGGCTTGAAGTTACCTCGGGAGATCATCGAGTCAGGAAGTCAGCTGGGGTCAAAGTATCCCAGCAAGATAAGCGTCCAAATGCTTCTTAAAGGGGTCCAGAGAAGGTGCATGCACCACCTCTGGACGGAGCCTATTCCAGGCTTTGGGGGCTCGGACAGTAAAGAATTTTTTCCTTATGTCCAGCCTAAAACGGTCTTGGAGGAGTTTGTAACCATTGGTCCTTGGCATCCCTTGGGGCGTTCTGGTAAATAGATGTTCCCCCCGATCGTGATGCACACCCCTGATGTACTTATAGGCTGCCACCAGGTCTCCCCTGAGCCTGCACTTTTTCAGGCTGAAGAGCCCCATGGCTCTCAGCCTCTCTTCGTAAGGCCTGTTTTCCTGCCCTCTGATCATGTGCGTGGCTCTTCTCGACTACCTCAAGCTTCTCCAATCCTTCCTGAATTGTGGAGCCCAGAATTGGATGCAGTACTCCAGCTGTGGCCTCACCAAGGCCGAGTACAGTGGGAGGATGACATCCTGGAATTTGCTTGAAAAGCATTTATGGATGCAAGCCAGAGTTTAATTTGCTTTACCAGCTGCGACATCGCATTGGTGGCTCATGTTCATCTTGTGGTCAGTTATGACCCCCAAAATCCAGAAATGCCAGAAGGAAGCTTCACCTCTTAGAACGGTGTGTACAAGCAGAGTTGGCACAGTAGACCTGGGCTTAAGTCAGATCCACACTTGTGAGCAAGTGGCACCCAAAATTTCTCTGGGACAGCATTGCTGAGAAAAGAACCAACGCCAGAGTCAATGTCAGAAAGTACTTCAGATGCCACAGTGAGGCCCAGCTATTATCTGCTCAGAGTTCTGCCCTTCATATTCTCCATGGCACCATGGGTAGTCCACTAATAGTAGCAGTACATTTGATGAAACAGGGAATACTTATTTACCCATACCAGGACAATTGATGCGGTCAAAGACAGGTCCTGCTAGGAGATCAGAGCAGCTCTGGATCAAGTTCTAGTCCATAAGTCTTAGTTGGAAGAACAGAACGGTGACAGACAATTGAATTTATAGGGGCTCTACTTTACTCACATTCAGCACAGGCCTACCTAACTAAGGACTGAGTCTGGTCCCTTCAGTTGCTCATGGGATGCCTAAGGCTTTAGTCTGCTGGGATATGTCAGCATGCTTCTGCATGTCACTTGTCAGACTTTGCCTTTGAAAACTGCAGTAATAAGGATTGTCCTATGCTATGTCTTTCAAGGCATCATATGAATAAAATGGTCACCACCTCATCCATCCCAGTTCCTGCAAGAATTCACCAGATGACTAGGCCCACTGAGCATGAGAAAGAAGGGGGATCCTCCTTAATACCTATCCTGACAATAGTGCTTTTCGAAAATGCATGAATAACAGGTTTGGGTGTCCACTTGAGTCATCTTTGAATGCAAGGCATATGATCCCTAGATAAGAAATTACACATGAAAGTCCTACAGCTGAGGGCAGTCAGACTAGCCTGAGCGGCTTTTCAGTCTGGGTTGTGTGGAACTAGGTAGTGCACATACTGATGACCAATATACTGGCGAAGCTGTCGAGATTTGGGACTGGTGCTGTCAGCATAGGACAATCCAACTATCTGTTTTTCCTGAGAGCCAGCAACCACTCTGTGGACTTTTTGGCAGGGACACAATAATCATTCATGGTAAATCTTTGCATAAATCTGTCATAGACCCTCCTTTTCTGATAATACGGGACCCCAACTATAGATCTCTTTGCTGTATCAGGAAACACAAAAGCCAAAGTCTTCTGGTCCAGGGTGCCCAGGGCACCCCTCTTTCAGGGGACTCTGCAGATTTCTATGGCTTTCCTCTGATATTTCTGATACCCAGATGATATCCAAGATCAGAATGGGCAACGCTAAGATTGTGATAATAGTGACAGAGAGACTTGGCTGTCATACCTACCAGCAATTTCCAGACAAATTCCCCTATGCTTTCCTGAACATTGTGTATCAAAACCAAAGCAACATCTCTTATTAGTCACTGATAGTGAGAGCCATCCTGACGTACACTTGAAGGAGTATGATATTCATATTTCTTTCTTAACAAAAGCCTCCTCTGCTTTTTCATGTCATAATGTAATCTTCCTTATCTAACTTGAGGCTAATGCTTCTTACGCTAACGCCCAATGGGAATGAACAGTAAGCCATATCTTCTGTGATTGTCTCTTTGTGGTCTTGGGCCAGTAGCAGTATCCATATATATGGATAAGAATCACATATCAAGTAAGAGTCAATGTTTTTAAGAATCCTTCAGTAATAGTCTTGTGCTGGGCTTCAGATCTCTCTGAAATTGCTCAGTCCCTCTCAGATAAAACACAAGACTGAATAGGCAGTCTTTGTAAGCAGTTTTGCCCAAAGCCACTAATGTAAAGTATTCACTTACAAATTACCTGAGTTGATACAAAATTATGACTTAAGTATCACAGATAGCAGGAGAACTATGAGCAGGGATCCTGGTTTCCTCTGTTTAAAAATTGGAAATTCTCTGATTAAAATCCCCCAAAATCTGTGATTGAAATGAAATGCCACTATATATATAGGTATCAATTGAACACAATGTTTTATTGATATATTTACAATTTTAAAGCAATTTGGAAGCTCACCAGTGCCTCAATCACTATAATAAAATGCATTCTGAGTACCTATAAATTTTTTATATTTGATTTTGGGTTTTTTATCATGAAAAATCAGAGTTTCCCCCACCCCCTTCACTCACCAGGACGCAAGTTCAGGCCCCTCGCTCCCCACCCACAGCTCCCCCAGCTGCCAGGGCTATGGGGCCAGGGATCAGGGTCTGCAGCCCCCTGCCCGCCCCCGCAGCAGCACCCAAGCCCCGGCTGCTGCCAGCGGGAAGCACCAGCCAAGCAGTGGAGCAGAGCATGAAGCCCAGCTCCCCTTCCCCCATAGGCAGCATGGCCAAAGTGGAGGGGCAGGAGGGGGGCAGATGCAAGCTGCCCACTGCAGGTTTGGGCTCCCTGCCTGCTGCCCTCCCCCTGGGGCCCAGCAGGCGGGCGAGACCAGGCAGGGAAGCTCATTGCTGCTGCTGGGAGCTCTGTGCCGGTCTGGCAAGGCACCCCCTGCCTGCCCGGTAGCAGTAGGGAACACAACTCCTATGCCGCCACCCCCGCTGCTGCCGGGCAAGCAGGGGGCACTTCACCGTGGCAGTGCAGGGCTTGCAGCAGCAAGGAGCTTCCCTGCCCTACTCAGTTCTGCCACACCGGATCCAACCCACTGGGCCTCGAGGCCCTGGGGGAGGGCAGCAGAACAGGGAGCCTGAGCCCACAGTGGGCAGCCCGCCCCAACCCTATGCACAACTCTGGGGGACACATACCTCCCATGGGCTCCCCCAGGAGTGTGCACAGCAGTGGGGAGCCCCCCCTACCCCTCCATGGCTGTGTTGCCATAGCTCATTGATATGGCAATGTAGCATCTAAAAATAAGCATGCGTCACTGGTTAATGCACCAAATGCACAGTCAGGGCATGTGTAGACACGTCCAGTGATACCATTCACGCAGGTTCCTATCTTGTGTACAGGACCTCCATCTGTGATGCAGGAGGTACATGGTCCCACTAGGGGGAATGCCTTGCTGGACCTGGTATTGGCAACGGGGGATGACATGGTAGGAGACCTACAGATCGGTGGTCACCTGGGGGACAGTGATCACCAAATAATAGAATTCATCATAAGACGTCGAGTGGGTAAGGTAACTAGTAGGGTGAAAGTGCTAGACTTTAGGAAAGCTGATTTAAATGAACTCAGGCGTTTAGTCAAGGACGCACTGCAGAGTAAGAGTTTTGAAGAGCTGGGAGCCCAGGAAGGGTGGCTGTGCCTTAAGGAAATGATCCTTCAGGCACAGAGGGAGACAATCCCGATGTGGAGAAAAACGGGGAAAGGGGCCAAGAGGCTTCCGTGGCTGACCAGAGAAATCCAGAGCAGCCTACGGGCAAAAAGGGGGGCATATAAAAAGTGGAAACAAGGAGAGATCACCAAAGACGAATATACCTCCTCTGCTCACACTTGTAGGGAGGCAGTTAGACAGGCCAAAGCTACCATGGAGCTGAGGATGGCATCCCAAGTTAAGGATAACAAAAAATTATTTTTTAGATATATAGGGAGTAAAAGGAAGGCCCAGGGTGGAATAGGACCTCTACTAAATGGGCAAAAGCAATTGGTGACAGACAGGGGGGACAAGGCTGAACTCCTCAATGAATTCTTTGCCTCAGTGTTCCTAAGTGAGGGGCAAGACAAGGCTCTCTCTGGGATTGTAGAGAGGCAGCAGTAGGGCGCCAGACTACCAAGCGTAGACCCTGAGATGGTGCAGAGGCACTTGGAGGAACTGGATGCGTTTAAGTCGGCAGGGCCGGGTGAG